AACTAATACTTGTTTCCATGCCAGTATGAGTAGTTTGTTCCAGTCTGCTGTAAAGTATGGATAGCTCTTGTCACTGCTACATACTACATAAGAGAGTTAGAATGCTTGAATCTCTTGATTTCTTTACTCCCTCTCTCAATCCCTACCCCCTTTCCTTTCTACCGCCCCTGAGAATTTGGCACCCCCTTCCAGAACTTTCTGTAGTGTTCTCCCTTCTCATATTGAGTTTTCTGTTTAAATATATCATCTGAGATGCCCTCCCTTTTATCATTTTTCAAAATAAGTTTAGTTTATATTATCTGCCCTATTCTTACTGTCTTCTAAATTCTCTGGATCATGGAAATGACTCAGCTCATAAAAATTGCTGCTGCCAATGGACCCCACATGTGGACGAGAAAACTGACCTCCTACAGATTGTTCTCAAGACCTCCATTTGGGAGCTGTGGACTTTATGCAACCACACACATGCACACAAAATAAATAATAAAGATGAAAATTTTAATACTTTAATTATTAGAGAAAAATGCATAGCATTCATCAGTGCCTGAAAGTACCTGGTTATTTAATCCACTAGAATTCATGCTTAGCAGGGGCAAAGATTTTTGTCTATATAGGTAAAACCATGCTTTTTGAATCTGTAATAGTTAGGAAATAATATATTTTGTGTAAGTTGTTGAGATGGGAAGTAGATACTGTTGAAAATGTCATTTATTGGAAGATGGAATGTTAAAAATCTTTAAAAGCATCTCATAAACTTTAACAAAGAATATGATCTGAAAGTGTATGTCAGGATTTTTGGTTTCTTTGTTTTTAAAGACAGGGTCATTCTGTGCCTCAGGCTGGATTGGAATTCACTGTTTAAGTATAAATAAAGCAGAGTATAATTAAAAGTAATTGGAATTAAATATAAAGTCATTTCTAGAATTTTTAAAAACTCATTAGCAATCATATTATATTCAAACAGTAATTTAAAGTTAAAATGTAAAATGGAGAGAAAATGATAGATTTTTGAAGCATCCAACTTCACTATTTAGAAAGTAATTATAAAATGTTTAATCATCAATTAGCATATAGGTTAAGTATATCTTAACTCCAGATAAGTGCTAACACCCCAAACGCTCCAGTTCTAATACTTTTTACATATCATGACTGTGATTTAAAAATTTTACAGATTTTTCAAATCTTTGGTTTTTGTGGGGAAGGAGCTTGGATTTGGAGTTCTGAATTACAGAAAGATGGTTAATCTGTAGTTGCCAAGTTGTGTTTGTGTACAGAAGTATGTGATTTTAAAAGTATGTCTGAAGTTGGAAAACAGTGTTTTGAAAGATTATTTGAGTACCTGAAAAATGTCTTTGCTACAGACTTGATACTAATGCATATGAAGAACCTTTTGAATGTAAACATTGCTAGAACCAATCCTGTGTCGTATAAATTTGTTCCTTTAGCACTGACCAGGAAGGAGTTCAGACAGCATCTTATATGAAAAATCTACTGGCATCCTTTTTTCTTTTCAGTAAAAACATTTTAATCTTAGATATTTACTGTTGAGCAAATCATTAATTTATCGTTTAAAACGTTATTTATGGAAACTCTTTATTTTACTCTACCTGATTCATAAACTGTCAGGTGTTGTGACTTAACAGTTGATTTTACATCTTCTACTGTCCCTTGTTCCCTTCCTCTTTTGTTTATTTTAGTGTAGTGTAGTTTCCTGTAGTCTTTGTACTACATCCTCATAGTCTTTGTTTCTGTTTAATAGATCTTTTTGGTTTCATTTTTTTTTTAAATTATTGACTTTAATTTAGAAAATATTTAGATTCTTCTTGTGTGTGTACAAACGCATGAACATGCTTTCTTGGTCTCTTATTCTTTGTGTAGATAAGATACAGTCAAAAACTAATAATTTTTTTTTCTTGAAATAAAATAAGTAGAGGAACAATTACCATTCCCTTTAAGTAAATTAAATCAAACTTCAGGCAGTTATCGATTCATTTATTTATTTATTTTTAATATTTGTTAGAGAAATTTTATTTTAGAATTTTAATTCCATTACCAAACTGTGTTTAATGTTTTGCAAGTTAAGGTTAAATTTAGCAGATCTGTTTATTGGAGAGAGTAACTACAAGAAGTCATCACCATTAGAAAACATAAGGGAGGTGGAAGACTTAATGCTGTAGATTGTTACTGGTCACAGATGTCACCTGTACCATTAATGAAGATAACCTTTAATATGTAGTCTGAAGCCTCTACCTTGGGAGATAGATGAAAGAGGATCATGAGTTTGAGGTCAGCCTTGATTTCATAGTGGCATCCTGTTTCATCAAAAGCAACCAAAGCTGTAGTTCTTATGTGTTAAAATCTTCTACATGCTGTTTATTGGGCAAAGGTACAACACTGTTGTGTTGTTTGGGTGTAATGTGTAGTCCTTAAGAAATGTAGTCTTCGTATAGTATAACTTTAACCTGGGAATGTGGCAGGCTTCCTAACAGTTTCTTCATTCTACAGATAGTACACCATTTAATCTTATTCCACCCTTTACCTCTTTTGAGATGGTAAAGCTGGGGTAGTTCTACTTAACTGCATTCTCTACTGTAATGTCTTTCGTGGTTTAAGATTTTATGTTTTTCTAAGAAATTTGTTTTTATTAAAAACTTTTTTTATATATTTTGACATCTAAATACATATTTTTTTGTGGTCGTTTATGGTTGTTTTTGCCAGGGTCCATTTCTAGTTGTCTTTAAGCTGTTAGGTTCTTGACTGCATTGTTTAATAACATGTAGTGTCCATGTAGAAAGTGATATTTAGTGTCACACACTGCAGTAAGTGACTTATCTCACAGCCCTTGTCTGGAAGTCACAGCATCTCTGTTATGCCCTTCTCACTCACTTTTTCTTCCAGTGCTTAGGGCTTAGCACATGTGGAATTTACTTACCTATTTCTAACCTTTGTGAGAAAATATACTAAAATATCTGTTTCTTGGCATTAAGTATTCAGTAAGTATGCGTTTTTAGGCAGCTATCATTTAAGATGTCCATTTGAAGATATTAATGTTCATTGTAAATTGTGTCTTCATATTGGCCAGTGTCTTATATGTGAAACCTCTGAAAGCTTCTCTATTCTTTGTTTTATAGGTAATAATGGTCAAAGTCATGATTCTTAACTGCTTATATAGCCCTTTTGTCACCAGCTACAAGTTTATTAAAAACTTATACATCTCACTCAGTTAACAGAAATGAACTTTTAATGTGTATAAAATATTTATAGTTATATAACTATAGTATTTATAGTGAATATATAGTTAATATATATAGTTAAATATGTTAGCAGTAGTGACTGTAGTCTCTAACAAAAGAATTTGATTGGTTGTGTTTTAACCTGATTGATAAAGGTTATGTAGTTTCAGTGTTAATACAATTGTCTAGGATACACACACACAAATACACGTGCACTTCATTGGGAAATTAATAATTTTGTCCTAAGTATTGATGGTTTTTGGAGTGATGGATAATTCACCCTTCTCTCTCTAGGTCTAATGTGCACCATTGCTTTAAAGCAGCTCTCATATATAGTTTGTAAACTTTAGAGTAAGTGAAATAGCATGTCTTTGCCTAAGGTTACATTTTTCTCCTCTAGAACCAGGGAACATCCTTGTCCTCTGTGGCCCCCACTCAGCAGCCCCCCACCCTTTTATATCCCAGCTACTAACTACAAGATCAAAATACTGTGGCTCCTGTAACTATAATGTCTTTTTGTAGTTCCTTGTTTCTTGTTTTGTAGTTCCTTCTTTGCCATCTTACCATTTTCATCCAGTTGTTTAATTACCTTCCTTAAGCACATACTTCGATCTTGCCATTTTCTTGCTTAATACTTTTTTTTTTTTTTATTGTTATAGTTGGCAGGTATTCTTTGTTTAACATTAAAGGTCTTTGGTTCTTGCCTCCAACATTTTTTATTTTCTTTATTTTTATTTTTTATATATATATTTCTCAATAGGACTAACCTTTCTCTCCTTTCTAAGTAGTCACTACTATTTATCACGTGCTTTGATATTTGATACATGTTAACCTAACATTAACATTAACTTTATATTATTGGCCTAGAAGATGCCTCTTGCGTAGCTTCATCAACTGTTAATTATAGAAATTGAGTGGTGTTTTTCCAGTGCTGCTCTGCTTGCATGTGCTATATCACCCTGGAATGTAACTGCATAATTCTGTCTCTTGATTATAAGCCAGTCTTGATGTCATGGCCCATGTTGTACTTACTTTAAATGTTTTTATGGTGGTATAAGATTTAATATTGAAACATCTGCATACATGTCCTCCCTTATTCAGTTTAAATATCTATTTTACAAACGACACTTCTGCATCTCTGTCTAAAGAAATACAGAATGAAACAGTGTTTTTCTATGAATGTAACATACCTTTAAAGAATTTATATCCTTTCAGGAAAATAAGACATTATTCTAGTAAACTCAGAGACATCATACAGCAGATGCCACAAAGTCAGCATCACTTACTAAGAAACGGGATACATCAGACACCACGTCTATGCTTTTATTTGTATTTTTTTCTTGTCTTTTGCTGATTTTTTTTTCTCTACTTGCATAGCTGTGTGAATATAAAAATCATAAAGTACAAACTTTTATTTTGATGATAGGCTGAATTTAGAATTTATTTTAATGTGTAGACTAAAATCAATATCACATTAATAAAGCCGATTTTGAGACTTTAGCTTTGTGTTTTTGTCAGTAGCCTATTTTTAATGAAGTAATAGTGGTGTTATACTTTAGTGTAACTTAAACCCTCATACTATTAATTATTTCTTGTACAATCTGGTTGTATTAGACTTTGTAAGAAATGGGGAGGTAGTATATAGTTGCTTATGTTGAAGAATGAGGACATGGATTGAGTCTTACATTTATGGAATGAAATACAGACTTGTAAGATGTAACTACAATGCTCTTTCTTTATGCTCTAATATAATTAATTTGTTTCTAGATGCTGGCATCACCATCTACATCAGGTCAGCTGTCTCAATTTGGGGCAAGTTTATACGGGCAACAAAGTAAGAATTTTGTATTTATTCTGGAATAATTTATATTTAAGAAAAAAAAGTAAAGAACTACCAATTCTACCTATGTGGGTTTAATATAGGGCTTAACAGAAGATAGTTAATTTTCAGTTATATTTTACTTGTGTAGTAAACCTCATTATGTTGGATCTAACTAACTCTAAATTTGTTATTTCTTGGATATAGCATCTGTTGTTGTTTATTTTGATATATATATATATATATGTCTTTTGCAGTTTTTTGAAAATTTGCTAAGCAATAAAAAGTAATTATATTTTTGGTTTTAGTTGGAGGAAGTTAAGGAATTTACCCTTATTGGTTTACTGTGGTGTTTAGATTTTGGCCTATTGCTATGAGTTCATTATTCAGCAGCACTCTGTGAGGTAGTTTTCATTTAGTAGAAAATACTAATTATTTATTGTACAAAATATTAATTTGGTTTTGTTCTGGTTGTGCCACCTAAATTTTTTACTCATAGTTTAGTTTTATTTTTTTTCCTTATGTAAGGTTTTGTTTTATAAAGTATTATAGTACTTTTAAAGCGCTTAGCACAGTGCCTGGCTCATAGTAAGCGCTCAATAAATTTTAGCTATATTCCCTCAAAGAAAAATTTATAAAACTAAATTATAAAATATTTTTATGCTTTTTTAAACTAAATTTCCAAAATGTTACATATTCATTAAATTTTATTTTTGTTAGTATAAATAATCTACTGATTTCTTGTTACTGTTGTGAATGGAGGCTGGGATAGTGTTACGAGTCACTGGAAGAGAGTTTCTGATCACTGTCTCAATCAGTTTCAAGCAGGAATCAGAGGTCACCCGTATGAGGAGAAGCAGTTTTTGATTAGTGCCAGGACAGTGTGTCACACCACTTCACTGTGCTTTGAGTTCCCAGCGTGGCGGCGGGTTGGGGCCACTTCATATTGTATAGAAAAACATTGGTTTGTGTTTTGTTTGTTTGTTTTTGTCTCTTACAGTTTTCCTCTTTGCTATGAAACAGTTTTCAAATACAGAATTACTAAATATTCATACTTAAGAAAGAACATGCTTTAAAGACTTTATGAAAAGTGGAGTTTCTTATCTACAAATGTTTATCTTAACCTGTTCAGGCAATTTTATAGATATTATGTTCTTGTTAGCTTATGTGTGGAATGACTTTTATCCCTTTGCAAAACCTTCCTGTAGAAAAACCTAGCTATATGAAGCTCTCTTCTATTTCAGAACAGGAGCTTCATAGGCCAATTAAAAAAAAAAGAAAAGAAAAGAAGGAAACAAAGAAAGAAAGCCACAGTTTATCATAATAGAAAGAAGATATACAATGGATAAAAAATGTCTGAAAATGTGAGATTGTTCTGTAATGGTGGTTGCTACCAGACTTTTAAGTTTTTAAGCTGCAAATGTGACATTGTTTTGGGGATGGATTTGGTTTGGAAGGTAATAATAACCTTGACAAGACAGACATTGACTTCCAATTTTCTTTAATTTGCTTTGTTTGATGTGAAGAACATACAAAGACTGAATGAACAAATTGTTTTTCTTAGAAAAAAGTCTTAAAGATACTAGTTTTAAAAGAAGCCATGTATGACAAACATTTTTTGTTGGACTTGGACTTAAAAAGTGGCTGTATTTGATAAAGTTTTAGTAGTAGGTATTCTGAAGAAACATTGTCAGACAAGAGAACACAAGCTACAGTTTGAGGTTTGAGAGGTCACAGTTTTACTTGTGTATGTTAAAATTTGAGAATCTGACTTTAGTGAAGGTTAGTGACAGTGGAGATGTTATTCTTGTGGAAATTTATTATAAGTATACACTGAGAGTGGTAGAACTTGAAGTTCCTTTTCACCTCAGTCTGTTAAGTACCACTGTTAACTCTGTATATTTATATTTTACAAAGTTCATTAATGATTTATGCTATTTATGCTCTCTCTAGGTTTTTGTTGTTGTTGATTGTCTTTGTGTCTGTGGTCTTTGTGTCTGTGGTTCGACAGTCTTAGTATGTAGGCATTCTAGTCAGGAACTCAAATCCTTTTGCCTGTGCTTTCAACATGATAGGGTTACTGTGGCTTGTTTTTATTTTTCATTTTTTCCTTTCCTTTTCTTTCCTTTTTCCTTTCCTTTTTGTTTCATTTCTTTCTTTTTCTTTTTTTTTAAGTTAGAGGAAGTGAAGAAAGAAAATGGTCTTTTTCCAGAACTAAAACCTGGTGAAATTAAGCACCTGGATGGGGGTCCTCTTGGAGTGGATGCAGGATGTTTGAGTCTACATTTTGCCAGATTGGGATATAAGTGATTATATAATAAGCATATGAGGTATCCAGAAAATACTGGGTTAGAGAGAGAATTGTATGATTTCAGGCCCTAGTGTAAAATGATTATATCTAAATTCATGACTTCACCCAGGGGTTTGTGTGGATATTGCTCAGCAGTTGATAACTATAGTAGCCAGGAAGCACGCTGTATTTAAGTTGCATGGTGTTCTCGACTTACCTTCTGAGTGTGTTCATAAGGTTTGAGACAGTCTTACAGCCTTACATGTTCATGGGCTCTGTAAAACTGTATGCTGGATTGAAATTGACAGAGAGCCAGGAATCTGTTTCTCCTAGATCTTCATTGTGTTTAAATGAAGTAGTTGTATAGTTGGAGCAGCCTTTCCTTACTCAGCAGTAAGTATTTACAATCTTGTAAGTGTAGAAAAAGGAAACTTTATCTGGTGCCTTCTAATGTGTGTATTATATGTAAGCAGTTAGTTAACTAGCTTGTGTCTCGATTGCAAAAGGCCCCGATCAGCCCTTGAAAAAAGAAATAGATTTTAGGATTAGACTCCAGGCTTGTGAGTGGTGTCATAGTAGTCTATCTAATTCTTTAACTGATAGTCATCTGTGAGCATAGTTCACTTTGTAAAATAAGAGAGTATAATTGACAGTGTAAAAGTGATGATATTGACATCGTGAGGCACAGGAAAAGTAACTTGCAGTTGCTTTAAGAATCGAATTTGACATGCTTGTTGTTTCTGCTGAATGGATCTCAAGGAACTAGAGATGTATGTAGATTCTCCTTTATGGTGTGTGCATACTGTCCAGCAGGCAGGCCACAGTGCTGCTGTAGCAGTTCTTTACTGTGTCTTGGCTATCTGTGTGTCAGTAGGACTGCATTTATGAGAAGCACTCAGATATTTGCTGTTATATAACAAGGAAGATAAATTCGTGTATGCTAATGGTATAAGCCCTTAGATAGCTTTATGATGAAACAGTGCAGGGAATAGGGAACTTGTTGCTTGTTGATTGAGTTCAGCTAATAATATAAGTATCCCTTTTCTGTGGATTAGAGATCAAATTTAAATCACCAAATTTTCCAGTGGAAACTGTCACTTCATTAAACTATCACATTTTCTTCACCATTAAAATCATTTGTTGGCTTCATCAACTGCCATGCACACATTAAAGATTGAGGGAAACCTGGTATTTCAGGATTTACTGTGTGTGATTCTTCACAACTCCATGAGATGTTAAGAAACTTGGCAGATCTTGTAGATAGCAAGTGATGGAGACAGAATTAACTTACTTTGTAGCAGTGGTACTCTGAATATGAGCTTAGAACAGTTTTTGAAATCTGAAAGCTGAAATCATGACCTCCAGTGAGTTATTTGCATAAAAACTACTACTGTTGAATCTACAGATACAAGAATATACAGGACTGTCTTCTGAAGACAGTGTGATAGGATTTATTCATGTATTTATTGAGTGCTGCCCTGAACATGGTTATATTACAAGATCTAAGCAAGAATATAACAAGTAACAGCATTTCTACTTTTCACAGTGCCTATGTTTAATGGAAGGAAACAGAATAATTATGCAGGCAACTAAGGAAATATTGCAGTTCTAGTAATTAGTAGTACAAAAATTAAGTCAAGCTAATGAGATGAGGATGGAGTTCATATTTTTCATAAATCAAGCAAAAAGCCTGTACTATCTCTCAGAAATTAAAATTTAAGATGGAAACCTGAGTGTGAGCACAGTAGTCCCAGGAACGGCCTTGAGGGAGCCTTTTGAGTACAGGAAAGCCTGGAAGACCTAATAAGTCACTTAATGACAAAAGAACAGTGAGAAAGTTAGTGTAATGAATGAGAAGAGATCAGTGAAAGAATGGGTATCTCTTCTCGTAAATATTCCTTAAAGAATTAAGATTGGCTGGAGAGATGGCTCAGACATAAAGAACACTGGCTATTTTAGTAGACCCTCCAGATTTGGTTCCCAGCACCTATGTGGCAGATTACAACCATCTGTGTCTGTGATTCCAGAGAATCTGACATTCTCCTCTGGCCTCCTTGGGAGCCAGGCATACATGCGGTATACAGACATATGAGCAGCAAAGCGTCCATACACATTAAAAAATATTTTTTAAGAAATAAAGAATCCAGCCCATGTGGTGCTTTGTGTGTAAAGGCAAATGCTGCAAAGCCTGGTGACCTGAGTTCTATCCCTAGAACTCACCTGATGGAGGGAAAACAGATTCCTAACAAGTTGCCCTTTGACCTGTGTATACACAGACTTACACTTGCACAGTAAAATAGTAATTTGAATATGTTCTAATTGTACTAGCAAAGGTTTTATGATGCCATCTCATTTCTAGCCATCACTTTGCTTTGAAGAAAGTGGACTGAATGGGGAAGGACTAAGAGGCAAGACTCAGTATTTTAAGCATGAAAATTGGATTAGTGATTGAGAAGTAGTCATATTTGGGATATTTTGGAAATACAGTTTATACAACATATATGTTTAGGACAGGGAAATTAACATATTAGGAAGATTTGAGACCTGTATCATTTTGTGAATGGATGCTAATAACTTAACTGGAAATTTAGTTTGAGGAAGAATACAAAGTTTGCTTGGGGAAATGTACAGTGCTGCGCCATGAGAAATGGTCCCTCAGAGCTCCTTTGTCTGATATTCTCTGTGGTTCTCAACAACTTGTAGCTAGTTTTGAAAGCAGTTTGTT